GCCTTCTGGTCAGCAGTCAAGTGCCTTAGGCACTACTGTGTGTATGTACACATTTAGTTTATCGTTCATTTATTGGTGAACATTTTAGTCGTTTCCACATTTCAGCTATTGTGAAAAGTGTTGCAAAGAGCACTGGTGTCCAGATATTTTAATTTTGACAATCTCTAAAGAGAGATTATCTTACTTCATGAGCAGAGGGTCAGTGAAAGACCTCAATGAGATGGATTGACACAGTGGCTGCAATGATGGGCTCAAGTATAGCAAATATTTTGAGGATGGCACAGGACCAGATTGTGTTTCATTTTGTTGTACCCAGGGTCACCACAAGTTGGAATCAACTCAACAGCACCTAACAACAACACCAACAAAAGGGAGTTGAAAAGAGGGCATATAAGGAGAGAAATACTAAGTGATCCAGAAATATATAAATTTACGTACAGTCTTCTTGTTAATCAACTTGAGACTGATAATTGTGGGACAGACAGATGGATACAGAGATAAAGAAGGATAAAGGCAGAGAAAGGGTAAGAGTAATATTTCTAAAAAAATGTATAATACAGACCACAAAGCCAGCCCATAATAAATACTAATGGTTTGCCAATGTATAAGTGAAATCCTGGATCAAAGTTGTTATAATCACTCTATGGTTTATGGCTACATTAGTAAAGTTTCTGGTAAGGAGTGTGTCTGTTGTTGTTGTTTGTGGGAGCCACTGAGTTGGTTCCATCTACCTCATAGTGACCTTATGAACAACAGAACGAAACAGTGCCTGGTCCTGCACCATCCTCACATTCTTTGCTATGTTTGAGCCCATTTTGCAGCCACTGTGTCAATCCATTTCATTGAGGGTCTTCACCTTTTTCGCTGATCCTCTACTTTACCAAGCATGACATCCTTCTCTAGGGACTGATGACAAAGTCTGGCCATTCTTGCTTCTAAAGAACATTCTGACTGTACTTCCTCCATAACAGATTTGTTTGTTTTCTGGCAGTCCATAATATATTCAATATTCTTCACCAACCCACAATTCAAATGTATCCATTCTTCTTCAGTCTTCCTTATTCATTTTCCTGCTTTCACATGAATATGAGATAATTGAAAATACCATGGTTTCGGTCAGGTGCAACTTAGTCTTAAATGTGACGTCTTTGCTTTTTAACACATTAAAGAAGTCTTTTGCAGCAGATTTGCCCAATTGCAATATGTCATCTGATTTTCTTGACTATGCTTTTGAGAATGCTGATTGTGGAACCAAGTAAAATCAAATCCTTGACAACTTCAATCTTTTCTCCATTTATCATGATGTTGCTTATTGATCTACTTGTGAGGAATTTTGTTTTCTTGATGTTGAAGTGTAATCCATCCTAAAGATTATAGTGTTTGATCTTCATCAGTAAGTATTTCAAGACTTCTTCAGTTTCAGCAAGCAAGGAATGCATCTGCTATGTCTGAATTTGACATAACTTCGTTATAAGGAACCTAATTTCTAAATCTTCAGTATTTGATTTGGAATACAGTCTATGGATTTTTTCATGTTTCAATTCCATCCACAGTTCTAATGCCACGAGGTTTTAGTGATGTTTAAAGTTATTCTACTGTTCTGCATCTCTATAAATGCACAGATGTGCTTGGGGTGTTTGCAGCTGCTATTTCCTGATATAAGGTTGACTTTTTATTAAGAAGTATAGAAGGAAAAAAGAGAAACCACGTAAGAAACCCTGCCTGGCTAGAATAATGTCTGTGAGGTCTTGCTGGTTTTATATTTTATAGTAAAATTTGAAGAAATTTATGGAAAAAATCAGATGCATTGATGCTATTATTTTTTATAATAATATTTCCAGTGATTTATAATAAATTTGAGTTAGTTTCAAATTTTTGCTTACTTAGCAATTCGTTGTTATTTTCTTCAAGAATATATTAGATTTTTTAAGGTTTCTGTGATCCAAAAAAAAAAGTAATTTGTAATCACTGAATTTTTTTGGCAACATGGGAATACAAGATGTTTAAGGTAGAGAAAAATCCTAAGGCAATGTTTAGAGGTATGCAGAAAAGATAAAAATGTATTACGTAAGCTGAAAAACTACAGAAAAAGTGGCCCAAGGCACAGAAGGATTGGTGAAATTGGCAGGTCTCTTTTCATAGTACTTCTACAATGCTTTACAGTTTGTTGTTTTTTTTTTTCAATGATTTTATGTGTGGGAACATATTCCTTCTATTGCAGCAACTCAACCCAAGCTGACTGAACCCTGTCTCAATCAGGCAAACACAATTTCAAGTTTCCAGGCAGCTAAAATCAAGCTCTAACTCGAAGAATCAATTAAGTGTGAGGTAACATCCTTCAGGTTACCTTCAGGCTCTGGAAACTGTGGTTAGACATGAATAACTTCCTCCTTTATGTTTTCATATAAATGGCATTAGGGTGTAACCAGAGATTTTAAACATAATATTTTCTATTCATTCCATTTTACAGAAATTAAATATTTAATTACCATGGCTCCAAGCTTATAGAATCATAGAGAATACAGACCAAATAAAAACAGGTGAGATGGACTGAAAAGTTTAGCTTTCTATTACAAAGGTGGGGTAGGGCAGGGAAATTTCCTCCTTTTCCTTTCAAATCAGTTTATTTTTCTGGGCTAAGGTATTTGGAAGACATTCAGAGTCCTCTTTCTCCAGAATTACCAGTTAAATTTTTTTTTAAAGATCTTTTTCCTTATAGCATGTTGTTGTTATTAGGTGCCTTCGAATTGACTACAACTTATGGTGATCCTATGTGTAACAGAAGGAATCACTGTCTGGTCCTGTACCATCCTCACAATCCTTGCTATGCTTGAGCTCATCATTGCAGCCACTGTACCAATCCATCTCATTGAGGGGCTTGCTCATTTTCTTTGACCCTCCACTTTACCAAACATGATACCCTTCTCTAGG